TTAATAATGAAATGCCTCAGTGTAGTAGGATACAAAATAAAACACACAAAAATCAATAGCTTTCCTATATGCTGATAATGAACTCACTGAAAAAGAAATTAGGAAAATAGTACCATTCACAATAGCATCAAGAAAAAATAAATACCTAGGAATTAACCTAACCAAGGAAGCAAAAGACCTGTATAATGAAAACTACTATACTCCCAAAAAGAAGACTAAAAAGGACGTCGGAAAATGAAAAGGTGACCATTGCTTCATCTCAGAAGAAGTATAAGTGGCCAACAAACAAAACTGTTACACAGATTCAATCCAATCCCAATCAAAGTACTGATAACACTCTTCACAGAACTAGAAAATACACACTCCTAAAATTCACATGGAACCAGAAGAGACCCAGAATAGCAAAAGCAATCCTGGGCAACAAGTGCAAAACAGGCAGCATCACAATACCTGACTTCAACCTATCATCCAAAGCAACTGTGCTAAAAAGTCACTGTACTGGAAGAAAAATGGACATGTGGATAAGTGGAACAAGATAGAGGATACAAAAACATCCCCAGACACATTCAGCTATTTGATCTTCAAAAAAAAGGCTAAAAATTTATGCTAAGGAAAGATATCCTGTTCAACAAATGATGCTTGGAAAATTGGCTCTTTTCAGAATATTGAAGATTGGACCCATACCTCTCACCATGTCCTAAACTAAAATCAAATGGAACATTTTGGAAAACAGAAACATTGAACCTATTAGAAGATATTGTAGTTAAAGCACTTGAAATCATAGCAGGAAAAAACTTTCTGAACAAAACTCCAGTTGTATGAGAAATAACAGCAAGAATCAAAAAATGGGATTATATCAAATTAAAAAGCCTCTGCACAGCAAAGGAATCAGTTAATAGAGTCAAGAGACAACCTACAGAATGGGAAAATTTTTTCCCCAGCTATTCTTTGGACAGAGGACTAATAACTAGAATATATCAAGAACTCAACCTGGGCATGGTGGCACATGCCTGTAATC